GCCCACATACTGTGCATTTAATATAAGCGATAATTCATTGAATATCTATCGTAATAATACCAACGGAGCCGCCGTTCGATACTAAATAATCTACTTGCGTGTATTTTAAAAAATGCAGATGAATTCTTTTCTCCTTATAAATTCAACTTATCTGCTTCAAAAAGATATGCCTCAATTTACTCGGACGGTAATGTCACCCGTTTCGAGGTCTTTTTCCTTGTGCGATATTCGTGTGGTCGGAGGTTACGGTCTATAAAAAAGTCGATTATTTGTTAATACTACAAACCTTAACGGCGCGCTAGTAAATATAATAAAAATCGCGAACCCTATTAAAAGTGAACCGTTGGAAGTAAGCGTCAGCACTCATCTTTAATGACTTCATTAAGGTCTTAGGGAGAGCGCAGAACGCGGAAGTCCATAGTGTTGGCTAAACATGTCAAAATAGCGGTGCCTTTTTTGGCGCCCACATAGAATTGATCACCTTATATTTCAGCGAAATATGGCTTATATTCTATCTTGGATATGGGCAGCCTTAAACACAAATGACGTAACTCTAAACTCATACCGCCTGCACATCGTAGTTTTCATGTAAATACCTTGGAATTTATAACGGCTCTGCTACAAACATTCTTAGGAGAAAAGACATTTCCTAAAATTTTTTGTGGCACTGCAGTCAATCGATACGAAGCATCAGCATGCGCATTTTAAACAGTCCACAAGAACTACAAGATTGACCCTCGATGTAATACGTTAAAAGGGCGTATATACGGTGGGCTTGTTTACTAAATGCACATTAGCTTGGAATCATGCGTCCACTGATCCAGTGAAAAAGACATACATCGTCAAAACATTGCGTTGCAGGCAAACTAAAGATCAGGCTGTGCATATTGCTGACATTTGGCTAGTCATGAATACATGTGGCGATCACATAATACCTAGGCGACACTCTCTCATCACACGCTTATTAACACCATGAATAGTTGCTTCATGAACCACCAGATGTCTACCAACCGCCTTTAATAAATGCATATTAGTAACTTATCGGACAAAGCTGGACATACAGTAAGTGATCTAGCACATGAAATGCCAACCGAACTTCAGAAATTAATTTGCGTTTTGAAAAGATTAATTAGGTATGGTTGTAAAACTAATTAGCAAGCAGCATAATTATGTAATAATTCAGGATGTCGGCTTTCAAACAAACTTCATTTCGGCTGAATGCTGAAAGCTAACTTTGCAAAAAATGACTACATACGTAGCATGCATTATACTAATTGACTTTTGATGCCCTTAAACATTCAATTAAAGTTCTTAGAAGACATGCATAAAAATGTTCATTACTTTGCTCATTCGGTGGACAGTTACGTCTCCTTCCAAATTCATACTTGAAGCAAGGATATAATTTGGCTTTGAAAAACATTTCCAATTCCCGAATAATTTTGAACCCAACCTGCCGGTAGACTTGCATTGAGGATTTCAGGCAACGGCGGCACAGTTTGCGCTCTTGTACAATCCTTCTCCTTTCCTTCTTGTCATAGGCCACAAATTTTGGACATTTATCGGGATAATGGTGTTCTCCACAGACCATGCAACAGAAAGGGAAAAGGGTCCCATTGCGCTTTATTTCCGTCCTGTTTGAAACAAGCACATTCCTTTGAAGATTGTTTGACAATCTGTGTGATCTACTGGGCTGCTGTCCTTCATGATCTCTCAAACTAACCGCCAATTCTCCGAACCGAGTACAGACAACATCAACGCGTTATTCTATGAAGTTCGCGAGTTCTTCGAATTGTGGTTCTTCGCCCTGACGCACTGCATTTGCAGCGGTTTCAGCCCATTTGAATCGTAATTGGGAGGGCAGTCGTCTCACAATCGACTCTAGAGTTCTGCTGGAATTGAGATCGGATGCATGGTTCAGTTAATTCAAGGTTGCCACGCAGGCTTGCATTTGCTGGCTGCGGTGAACTAACGCCGCGGTGTCGTTGCCTTTTATTTGAGGTCCGTCGATTAAAGCATCAATAAAGGCTCGGGCTACCATATAATTCTGGCCGAATCTTCTTCTCAAAATGTATTTGGCCTTTTTAAAACCTTCGTCGACGTCTTATATCGCACAATGTTGTATTAGCCTCCTTCGCTTTGCCCTCCTCACAGTACTGTATCAAGTAAGTGAGGCATGTGGTGCTGTCAATAGTTTTTTTTTTTCAATTACAGAATGGAACTCTTTCACAAACGCACGGTACAATTTAGGGTTCCCGTCGAACTTCTGAATTTCACGTTTTGGCACCTCTGTGGTGCGAACTGGAGGTTCGACGTTATCATTCGAACTACCATCTGTCTGTTGAGCGATTGCACAAACCTCGTCAGCTTTATTCAATTCTTGACTTTCCATTTTCATAAGCTGTAATTTTTCCAACTCAATGCGTCTTTCGATTTCTAGTAGACGAATTTTTCTGAGCTCTATTTCAAGTCGCTGTCGCTCTAAATCTCTTTGATCTAAGGTGATTTGTGAAGCAGGTTGTGAGTGCAGCGACAAATCCGGAGGGCTGTTATCTGCGATTTGCTCGGACATGACTCGAATAACTTTGTTGGTATTCTTTAGATTTTTTTTCTTGATTCAATGCTGCTTTATTCACCGGGATAGACGCACCTGAAGTCAAAGCTATGTCAGGAGACAATCATGATGACTCGGTTATTCTTTGTGGTCCTATAGTAATAAACAGTAAGATAAGCGGAGCATAATAGGGCGGGGAATAAATTGAAAAGTGGTCGTATATTCGAGGTGATAAGACTAGCAGTCGGCGAATGACGCCAAAGTGTAGTGGTCGGTTTGTAAGTGAGCGGCAACAAAGAGCAGTAGACAATGGACAAAGAACAATGAACAGAGAATGACGAGAACCGACGAATAGGAAGACGGCGACAAAGACAGGGTGGTATGAGTAAAGTCTGGTTACTGACAAACGGTTAGTAGCAAAGGGAAAGACAAGAATAGAAATTGACATCAGGGATGTCAGTCTAAGTGTGGGTCAACTACTAAAATATAAGCTGTCCTTAGCTAGAGGACACGCTGCAGACTGTAACTGAACGGATGGATCCGTGACCCTCAGTCAGTCTGCCAGTGTGTTTGAGGGAAATAGGCTTTCGCCTTTGTACTCCCTTTGTGCACATACAAAATCGATAAAATAAGCAAATAAGTGAAGAAATTACAGCATTAAGTGAATGCAGACATTGATTCATATATGTCACTGGTCTCATGGCTAAAAAGTCACATAGTCCGCTTGTTGCTGCAGCGTATGCCTGCCAAGTCGACATTTGAATGTCTCTACATATTGAGACATGACAATTGTCTCGAGCAGGTTATTCCACGGTTGCACGACACGGTTGGAGTAGAAGTACGTTCTCATATCCACTCTACCCTAGGGCACACGTAGCTTGAAGGGCTGTCCCGGGAAGTTAGTTGTAGTGGCGAGTTGGAAAAAGTCGTCGCACCGAAGGGCGCAGTTCAAGCCACGCACGATACGGAAAGTTTGTATCAAATTGCCGCGCAACTGCCTACTAGAAAGATAGGTATATATGTCAGTCGGCAATGTTAAGACTCCCTTTGTTAGGAGAAAACATATATGGGTAGGTTTGGCATACTTGAAGCTTAAATAGCATTGCTTACAAAGAAGAACCTTCCAGTTACCGACACAGCTGAATATATCTGTGAATGTCTATCAACCAATCAGCAAGAAATAGGAACTTCGACGAAGACAATCAAGGAACTATTACTAAGATGTACATTAAATGTGCAGTTCCTGTTTGACAACCGACTCTGCAGAAAAATAGACGGCATTGCTATGGGCACGCCTCTTGGACCTCTCCTAGCCAATGTTTTCATGGGAAAATTAGAGATATTCCAACTAAGTGATCAGATCGACGTGCTTAAACATTACGGTCGCTACGTTGATGATATCTTTGCAACTGCCAGCGCAGAAACCGACGTAGCCAGCCTCTTAAATGCTGTAAATCAGGCAGATCCTTCGATCGAATTCACGCTGGAGATCAAAACGGCCGGTTCCCTCCCTTTCTTAGATGTTCTTCTATACAGAAGACCTGACGGCAGTGTCCGAAGAAGCGGCTATCGGAAGGAAACTTGGCCTGAACAATACAGTTTCGTACCCCTCAAACAAAAGCGAAATCTAGCCCGGTGTTTGGCATAAGGGGCTTGAAACATTTGCTCGACAGATAGCATCGAGGGAGAGCTGAGAATAGTCCAGGAGTCCCTTTGCGAAAACGTGTATTCTGACAGGTGAATTACAAAGAACAGTGCTGAACGACCAGTAAAACCCGATACACCGACGGCCGAAAAGAAAACTTTGTTCCTCAGTCCCATTCTAAGGGGACGCTGCGAGCGAACTCCTAGGAAGACGCCTTGATCAAGCTGGCTATTGAACCTTCCCATCGGCAAGGGTTTAACTGTCATTCTCTAATAACCCTTCTTTAGGCGGAGAAAGTAAGGATAAGTTGCCACAACAGACCACCCCAATGGCCATCTATTCCTTCATTTGCTCCTGTGAAGCAGGTTACATTGGTCGCACGAGTCGGCGCTTATCCAAGAGAATACGGGAACATGTTCCGGCATGGCTGAGAAAACGCAAAACTAGGAGCATAAGCTGCGTCAGTTTCAGGAATGTTGTCGTTTCCGGATATCGTGTAGACCACAACAAAGATTTTCGGGTGATTTATAAGGTCCCGCTGAGCTATTCTGAGCCACTGGGTCGGCGTATGTTAGCAACAGCAGAAGCGGCCGCCATCAGGTTATGAAAACTGTTATGACCCGGCCTGGTACTCGAAAGCACGTGCGAGCGTCTACGTACCCGACTATTGTTCTCAATGCCAAAACAACAGAGGAGGAGAACGCGACCGGTCACGAAATGTTTATTAGGTAATTGCAAGTCAAAATTAACTGGAAGTAACGCATATTTACAACGCCCTACTGTGGTTCGCCGGCACTTGGCTTAATGTCCTTCGCGAAAAACATTCCAGACGAGCCGATCGATAATTCAAATATGCAGATCGATCAGGCCCGAGGGGAAAAGCCAATGGAGCGGCGCCACGATGAAGATGACAACGCAGTAGAGAAAACGCACGTGGTCTCCAGTGATTGGCTGGCTCTTGTTTTTGGGAGTGTAGGCACTGCCAACACCTTCCCTTCAAGTAGGTCAGTACCGGTTTTGGCGTGGATTGACCTGCATCGCCCTTGTTGATCGGTGCACGCGGTTGGTCCGGCGTCTTAGTCGTGGTTTATTGTCTGGAGACACGGGGGCAGTGACTGATACCGATGACGGTACATCCGAAGGGGCCGCAGCAGTGGTTTCGGGAACTGACCGATCTGTCGGAATGGTGAAGGTATCCAGTAGGATACCCCACGCACCGCCACACCGCCTGGTCTAAAGGACACACGCGAGCAGGAGTTTAGCTATCAACAACAAAGAATGGCGACTGGTGTGGCTGAGGCCGCACCGTGGGCTGCCGCCACACCCAGCTCAGTTCCCATGGTTTGGGAGTGCCATAAAGGCCACATTAAAGAGAAGTCATTGTGGCCGGACTCTTAGACTAACAGCCGGCCACTCCACAACTGTAAGGCACACAACACTGGGCCGACTGTGAGGTCCAAGTCATCTCGTCAGATGGCAATCTTCCATGCCACGGCCTGTAGTGCACCATGATAACTTCAATCGCGTCAGATTGCTTGTAGTGAGGAAAATGTGCTGAGTCGTCCACCTTAATCTCCCTTCCCATTGTGAAAGAAGGATGAAAATCTGTTACTGGACTAATTTCCTAGCAGTTGACCATCGGAAGCCTTTAAAAGAAACGTCCGCAGGACGTAGAAGAAACTGGCAACAGTGTGTTTCCATGTCAGCTGAAAAATAAAACCATCTGGACATCGGCCCTAGTATGCGAGATAAGCACTAAAGATACCGTTGTCGAGGAGACACACAGTCCGGATATTTAGGATTTGGGACACCACATACAGGTAAATCTAAGCAAATATGGACCGTAGTAATAAGGGTTTATTGTACAACAGGTCGTAGCATGATTTTGCTGATTAATACTTATCGGCTGGAGAGGCCACATTTTCTTGCAATATGATCACAGGTTTAAGAGGTGAATCTCGGTGTGAAGCCCTCTGCAGAAAAGAACGTGAGCAGCTGTTTGGCAAGGCATGATATTTTCGCAGTAAGTCACATGTTGTCTAGAGTAGGCAACAGGATGTAGAATGCACGCTGGCTGTTTTCGAGCCAGTGCAAGGGGTCAAAACATATCGCTTCCTCCACAGAAAACTACGTTCACGATGACTATTGAATTACAAATTCTGAATCATCCCTATCACCCCATGAAACTTCCACGGTATCGTGCGACTGTGTTGACGTCTATTCCTAGTCCTACCTATGCGCATAAGTGGTCTAATTCGGCACGATTTTCCCACGCGTGGGAACGGAAATGTTTTGTTCTCGTTGCACTGGTTGCACAACAGGCAGCGTTTTTCCCTAATCCTGCAGTCTTAACAGGATGAAATTTGACTTGCCACGAAGACATCGTCCATCGCCAAAGGCCACTTACGAACATTTCGCCAGAAAACTTCAGACCCCGTTGCATCTCTCAGATCCGTGATCACATGCTGTTGAACTGAGCCCGCTACAGCTTATTATACAATAATACGATTTTATTGCGGAAACTGCTATTAATATAGTCCGATTTATTTATTCGCAAAATCGTGGATAAATGGACGCAGCCTATCCTGCACTTCGTTAACTTTACTGCTACCTAGTGCGCTGACTTTAGATTTTCATGTGATATTCTCGCTTCGTTCAATTTTGCATTTTGTAAATGTATGTAGCAAAATACTAGGCCGTCCTTAAGAAAACGCCCGTATTTTCTTTTCGAATTGTAAATATTCCCTTTCAAGTGCGCTGCGAAATTACAAACGGCCGTATCAAGCAACAATGCACAGATATTAATTTGCACACTTTCCCACTTAAGATTACATTGACCAAAAATTTTATTTTTGCAGTCAGCCGCTATATTCGTCAGTCGTACGCCTGCACCTTTTCACCATATCACAACATGCACCTGACCGTACTGGACTCAGTCATTAAACATTGCATGTTTAGCTGATGCTTTCATTAAGGTCGCAGATAACAGCGATTTTGTCGTTCTAGGAATTGTTCGCCCTTCTAATATTTTGCTCAATATTCACAAAATTCCATTTGTATGCCTCCCATTTTTCCACCTCATAAATTAACATTCCTCTTCATGAATAATGCCCAACTACAGTAGGTGGTCTGGCTCATGAAATGTCAACCGAAGTTCCGAAATGTGTTTTCGTTTCGAAAAGTTTACTTAAGTAGCGTTGCAAAACTAATCATCATGCAGCATAATGCTGTGATAATTCCGTGTTCACAGAATACCGGCTTTCGGATGCACGTTTTTCCGCCTGCATGCAAAAACTATACACCTCAAAACATGACTTCTTACTTAGCATACACTTTTCTCATAGATGTTCAATGCGCTTAAAAATTCAACTATATTTCGTAGAAACCATGCATAGAAATGTAAATTATTGTGCTCTTTTGGTAGAAAATGCCGTCTTCTTCTAAGTTTACGCCCGAAGTAAGGGCAAAAATCGGGTTAAAAAACAGTTCCAAGTCCCGCATCATTTTGAGCCCGACCTATCGACCGTTTGCTCACAGAATTTACAATGTCTCAAATTCACTACAAATTTGATGAACGCTATGTATTCTCCTTTTAATATAATAGAGAACTGTATGGTTTACCATACGCGGAAATATACGGTCTGTTGTTCAAAAACCCCGAATTCAAATGAATTCGGGAATCGGAGAAGCTTTTAAAACCGAATCATACCCTTACTTCGAGTATAAAATTAGAAGAAGACTTAATATTCCACCGAATCATCAAAATAATAAATATTTTTACGTATGTTTTACATGGAATATAATTGACTATTTCAGAGCCACGAACACAAGCGGGAAAATTCATGTTACTTCCGAGGCCATTTTTTACAGAGTGCATTTTTGCATGCAGCTGAAAGACGTTCATCCGATGGCCGGCATTCTCAGGGAACTGAATAAGAACAGAATTATGCTGCAAATACTTAGTTTTACAGCACTAATTAATAAACCTTTTCGAAACGAAAAGGCATTTCGTAATTTTAATTGAGATGTTTTAAGACGTTTGAAACTACAGAAGTAGCTCTATTATTCTCTTCTACGCTTACTATCGATTTAACTTAGAATAGCTGAAATATTTGAATTAACTACAAAAATGAGCTTCGTGCGTGATAGACGCAGGAAGTAGTTAGCTAATAAGGGTGCGAATGCTTCTAGGTCTGTAGCTCGTGTTCTCTGCCAAAGATCGTCAACTAAGTCCCATCAAGTCACTCCACCTTTCCTTAGTTCCTACTAGACCTTCATTACAGAGTTGTCAGGAAAATGAGATTTGTTAAGTTCATTCGGTGCCAATAATTTCACCATTGAAATTAACCCCATTCCTTTAATTTCTCCGTCGTCTAATGCCTCAACCATAACCAATGAATTTGATCCTGCGAATATGCATAAACATATGCGCCAGCTTAATAACTTGCACTCGGTAGGAACTGGCAACATCCGAACCCCTTTATTAAGCAGCTCAGCATTTTTGCTTCTCTGTTTAGCAAATTCTTGTCCGTCCATGTTGAGAATGACTTTTTTCTTGCCTATTGAAAAACTTCGTTTATTACTATACTAGTAATTAAATTTGGTTGCTGTTGTGATGTTAGAAAATGTGGAGGTGTCCATAAAGCGCATCCTTTCGTCAAAATCCTTGAAAGAATGTTCGTATGACGACTGTGGACCTCTTACAGTCAGTAGATTCATCAGATCCTCCAAATTTGTCGTCTTACCCGACCGCTGTTGCGAATAATGTCATCTGCTGTTTCTCAATCTATTTACTTCTATATTTAATGATTGTCTATTTGTGGTAGTTACTTATTTTACCCTTGATAAAGCCTTCGACGAAGTGACTCTTAGTTCAATAAGGAGGTCCGAGACCAGTTATAGATATCTAATCGCAAACTAAAAAGTTTTAATGGGATCTTCATTATTTGATAAGAGCCATCTGTTAAGTGCTGTCCTGTAAGGTACCAATTTAGGTTCTCTTTTACTTCTGCTCTTCACTTATGATTCTTCGTCAGCAATCAGACACTAAAAACCTCTTATTTATGCTGATGAACCCAAACGCGTATATATATATTCCTTGAATCTACGAGCCAGTATTGCCTAGATCAAATTCATACTACTTTGCTTGCCTTCTCAGCGTGGAGCTCAAAATGGCTAATGGAAATGCACCTTATAGACCTGTGATCACATGCTGCTGATCTGATAATGCTACGACCTGTTGTACAATAAACCGCTATTACTACGGTGCACATGTACTTAGATTTGCCTGTGTGTGGTGTCCGAAATGCTAAATTTCTGGACGGTGTGTCTCTTCGAAAACGGTATATTTAGTGCTTACCTCGCATGCTACGGCCGATATCCAGATGGTTTTATTTTTCAGCTGACATGGAAACACACGTATCTGCTGTAGTCTCTGATGATGGGTTCCAGCAGGAACCCGAAACGTCAGGCTAATAAAGTTCTTGTCCCAGCGATGGTACATCCTTCTTCGTGGAATCACACTGTTGGCAGTTTTTTCTACGTAGTACGGACGTTTCAATTGAAGGCATCTGATGGTCAACTGCTAGGAAATTAGTCCAAAAACAGATTTTCATCGTTCATTCACAATATTCTGTGCAATTCTATAGATGCTTTCTTTCTCACTTGCTTAGTGTGTCGTTAATGCAGGCTCTCATATCCATCTCTGTCTACTTCAGGTTCTTGTAGCACCCTAATAACTCACCATCTCCCAATATTCTGAACGTTACTGTCTATTTACTCCTTTCCCTAGACATTCTAGTTTCCTGCATAAGAACTCGATTTCATGCCACAGAGTGTAGGAACTAGCACATGCGGATATATAGAGGAATTTTCTGGGCATTGTGTATTGTGTGGTGGAGGTAGTTTCACTTGCCTAATTAATGAAACGTTAGAAGTTTCTTATGATAATATTTGGAAATATAACTAGCAGAGAATTGGAGTGTCGTGAAACAGCGATGAAGAATTCAAATAGTCTAAATAAAATTAAACATAAATATAAGTCAGTAAGGACTAGTCTGAAATGCTCAAAAATATTCCAATGTTTCTGAGTACTGTGCATTTGGGGTTGGAAATGCATACAGACCCGATGGAACCATCAGGCGTTAGGTACTTATACCGAAAAACCCGCTGCCACCGCAAGAAACGTCTGGAGTCGTTTATCAGATTTGCTGCAGTTGCGGACAAAGCAACGGCCATACATTCAAATTCGACGAAGCCGAAACTCACGCTAGAGGTGACAACCGCGTGATCCGCGAGCTGCTCGAGTCATGGTTCACTGGCCCTCAGTCAATCAACAAGTGCACGGTCCTTCCTCTTCCATGCTCGGTGCTAAGAAATGGTCTAGCCAGAGTAATTAGCCAAGCGGGAAGCGCACGGGTGAACACGTATCCCAACGCCAGGGTCGGTGGGTCAGACGGTCGAGCAATCATCACATCAACATCCAACACACGTGATGGGATTGCGGCAATTAACGACGCGAAGGTCGGCCCTCAACTAGTCATCACACCAAGTGCAACGATCCCTGATGAAGTGGGGGAGGAGCTGTGAATATTCGTAGGTATGTGCTAGCATTGCGACCTCATCCTACAAATACTTCAGCCCCTTTGTACATGAGCCACACGTATCTGCTTTTGCCTCTGATGATGGCTTCGAGTAGGAATACGAAACGTCAGACTAATAAAACTCCTGCCCCATAGAACGCGCGTCCCATTTCACAATAAATTTTAAACGTTTTGTCTAACTTCTCACATGTGCGGCCTCATTTTATCAGGCAAGGAAGTACGCAGTGGTATAAATAGTTCATTGATTTTATATAACAGACAGCCTCCGCCTTATGTCACGAATGGAAACGCGGCCCTGGGATTATAAGATGATTTCTTTACCTCCCATCTCCCTACCTACTCGAGCGAAACTGTCATAGAAAAATAATAAATGCAGTCGCCTGTACAATCTCTACTTGATAGCGCATTTGGCTCGGATTGGTTACAGCCCCTGATCGTCTTACCATGTCATGCTATTATGTGTTTTTCAACGCAATAAAATCCAAATTGTCTATTCTTCCCTGCCAATTAAATTCCCATCGACAAGCTTAGGCATTATTTTTGACTTTCAGGCGCTAACCTCAGTCCATAGATCTAATTTGTCCGCATTCTAACCTCATAATTGATCATTCGCGGCAGAAGAGGATGATTCTTTATGTTATGCTTTCGGACTATATTATGTTTCCATGCTCAGCCTCACGTAATGCATTTTTGTATCACACAATCATCCTAACTAAGGGAGCATTATTGGGTCTAAAGGGATAATGAGGGGTAGTCAGTGCGGTGTGGTAGGTGAGAGTAGTAAATAGGAGGTATCGGAAACGATAGATTAGCTTGATATGCAACATTCATCACGTAGATAGGTGAAGAGGTCACAATCGCAGCTGAAACTGTCGTTACGGATGCCGAAATTAAAAAACGAAGTCACTTTGGAGAACGACGGAATTATGCCCACTAATCTGGTTTGACTAAGATTTTCATGCGTGCTACTCATGTGTATTCGGTAGCCTGAAATAACTAGATTTTGGGAGTGCATAATATTGTCAACGCTAATAATTCTGCATGTTGCTCAGAGTCCATTAGTGCGTCACGGGCAGAAGTCTTAACGCAATATGCTAAAACCTGGCGATGGGATGAGGGAGGGCTATAGTGGAACGCCCACCTTACAAGTTAGGAAGTTTAGGAAAGCATATTAATTCATTGTTGCTTGCCGCCTGCATTTCGCAAAATGACTAAAACGGTTCGGACTTACCTAAACTACGATTGCGTAGATAACAACTTAATAAATAGTTATATTGGGTCATAGGATCGGTATAGCTTTCTCGCCTGTAGCGATGAAACAATTCACTTTGGTGTCATGTCCAATGCTTCCAAGGACAGCCTAGAGTTTTTGCCGCGTAGATATCTCAAACCTAATTCTTCAGATTACCTTGTTCCTTAATTTCTTCTCAAGAGACTAAAAAGTTGAGACGGCAGTTGCGTGACCTATCCACAATTTCCTTATCCGTTCATCTCCGAAATGGCCTCAAGGATGTGCCAAGCGAGCGACAGGCAGAGATACTCACTTACTCTTAGTGATCCGAAACCTGGCAAATCCGTCGCTAACATCCCCGTCACCGGTCCTCCTCTAAATGTGGACACGAACTTCCACCCCTGCTAAACAATAACAAAATCTTCCTCATCGTTGACACTGACAGGATGAAGTTGTTGAGTGCTGTCTTTGTAAAACACCTTATTACTGAGTCCAAACCAGTCCCTTTCTTTCGTTCACTTTCAGATGTTAATAACTACCGGGGCGTGCACAAAACACCGTCTCTAGCAAGGCGCTGGCTGTCCTTGGTCGCGCACGTCGCCAACACCAGAACTGTTTCGACGGCAACGACGCCGCCATCAGCAAACTGCTCGCCGCGAAGAACTACCTGCACGAAGCCTTCGTCGACTGCCCCACCGATGACAACAGAGATGTTTTCTACCGTAGTCGTTGCCCCCTTCAACATCGGGGGCGCGAAATGGAGGGCGCCTGGACGGCTCGCAAGGCCGAGGAGATCTAGGCATACGCGTCCGCAACTGAGCTATTCCAGGAGATTTGGCGTCAAGGAGAAGTACCGCAGGAGACGGACAGTGCCCGAGGGGCGCTATACTAAACCTATTCTATTCTATTATATTTCAAAGACGCCACAATCGTGCATCTATAGAACCGCCAATGCATCTCCGTACTGGCCATCGACGGGTAAATCTTCTCTCGCGTCCTCCTCAATCGTCTGGGCAATCACCTAGACCAAGGTCTTCCGCCAGAAAGCCAGTACGACTTCCGCCGTCATCGCGGGACCACGGATATGAGCTTCGTGGCACGTCAACTCCAGGAGATGCGGACCCACCTGACGAAAGCATTTGACAGGGTGAATCGTGAAGGACTGTGTACAACTATGCGGAACTTCGGCTGTCCCGAGCGATTCACTCAGATGGTGCGTTAGCTCCATGATGGCATGATGGCGCGTGTCACGGACAACGGAGCTGTCTCACAGGCATTCGCAGTGATCAATGGAGTAAAGCGGACCTCCGTCCACGCGCTCACCCTTTTCAGTCTTATGTTCTCTGCCATCCGGTTGGACGCCCAACTTAACAAACGTCCCGGGATCCGCATCGCCTACAGAACCAGTGGCCGCCTCCTCAAACAACGACCGATAGACTTCTAATCACGCTTATCCACAACCACCGTTTATGAACTTTCCATTGCCGACAACTGTCCCCTCAAAATCACTTCGGAAAAGGACATGCAAAGGGGCATGTACCTCTTCTCCATCGTTTGCGAAAATTTCGGCCTGGTCATCAAGACGGAGGGGACGGTGGCCGTGTACCAACCGCCAACCAACACAGCCCTTCCGCACAAACAGAGTTTGGAATCCTCACGGTCTTCAGCTCAGAATGAAACTGAAGATGTGCAAGGCCGTCATCCTCCCGACGCTGCTGCATGGAGCAGAGACTGTGATGGTGTACACGAAGCGGGCACGCCGATTCAACCACTTCTACCTCAGCTGTCTTCGCCGTTTCTAACCAGAATCAGAGACCCAAAGTGCTAATGTTCTGAACGTTGTCCTCACAAACGGCCCAACTACTGCCAGCAAAGGAGGATCCATGGCACCACTCAGAAAGAGTGACTATGTCCTGCTGCTTTGGAAATATGGCTTATTCAGCCAACTGATGGAGACAACTGAGCATCGGCTGAAATTGTGCTGATACTAGAAGTGAATAATCGGTAGTGAACTGGCATTGCGCTCGTACTGGACATCCAGATGCTGTCTGGAACACTTTGAAAGAAATTATTAGCGACCCTACACGTCGAAGATGTCCGACTAAGAAAGTTCAAAAGATAAATCGCCTGTCTGGTTAAAAGCGAACGCTAACGGCAGAGATAATCCGGAAGAACACGGTTTGGAGAAAGCATGCAACAACAGAATAACCTGTGCATTACGACCAGTTTCGTCGAAAGTGAAACGAAGTTAGGTCAAATATCCGCAGGAAATGGAAGGGGTATGAAACGGTAGTTATGAAATGGGCCGTTGATAGGCTGGAAGTACTCTTCAGCCACATAAGCAGCAGGTCAAAGAACAATGTCGAAAGAAGAAGAGAATGAGAAGAATGCTATGAGAAGAATGAGAATGCTATGGGAATTTTCACAACTCAAATGCAAAAGAAACTAAAATGGACATTTCTGGCCTTTAAGACGTCGTTAGCCAACCATACCAAACCCGAGTCACGCAACTCCTAAGGCTCGAACTCGCTACCTGTTAGATAAAAGCCCTAGGCCCTAACCTTTGAGCTGCGGGCTTATTGACCTGTCGGTTACGATCTGGGTGGTTGGTTGATGACGGCTGTCAGGCCAGAAATGGTCATTCCAGACGATGTAATGCTCTCCTGTCTATATCCGGCTTCTGTGTGCGGCAGCTGACGGTGACCGAAAGGGAGAGAGAGCTTCAAGTCACATAGGGATGAGAGAGAATTGGTACTCGATCGGTGCACCTCCCGCCTTCAATACCTCAATATTTGTCTGTAAATAAAATTCTTCCAAACCACATTATCATTCTTGGCAACGTATACCTGCAATACAGGGCGACGAAGATGAGAAATCTTGAGGTAATATTCCTTGCGAAAATGAATTCTGACGAAACCAGACCGTGCTCCTATGGCATTCGCCATTGACGAAGAAAGTAGACATCTGCGCCGACAGCTTTTGTGCTGTTGCGTGAGAGGTAGGTGAGGATAGGATTTATGCAAGCGGTGCGTTTGCTCTGTTAGCGTGGCAAGCTCCACGTCAGCCCCACTGAAAAATGGAAGGTTGTGGTCTTCTGGACGACGGTGTGATTCTGCTGAAATCCGCCTAGTGACAGCATGACTCCGCATATGGAATAAGTTGGGGTGATTCTGTGCACACGCTGCCATGCGTCAAGCATGCGTCAGGGTGCCCTTCTAGACTGCGCCTATACAGAAGCAAAAGCAGTCTTCCAGACTGAAAGCGCATGATCAGGCAGGGTGTGCAGCGCTTGATGAGCTGAAATGGACTGGAAATACTGTCTAAGTGCTATTGCATAACTTGTCATGGATTTTTTAGTCATTATTTGCACTAGATAATATTTGGATGCGTAAAAAGGACTTACACATGACAGTTCGACCGTCGTTCCCGACGATGTCCACCGTGTGATCCACTGGAAGGTGAAGCAGACACGGTGATTTGCGCATGAATTAGTTTATATTGGTAGTAGACTTGCGCAGCGTGCACCGCACTCTCTCCTCCCCACTCCCCACCTGGACCGGGAGTCAGGGCAGAGTGAAGAAGACCGGAGAGGGGGGAGGGCGCAGGTGGCTGACACGGCCGGACCCTCACCTAGGCGTTCTACGCCACACCGCCTCGTCCATAACATACACCTGAACATGATTTTAGCTATCAACAACAAAGACTGGAGGCTGCACCGTGGGCTGCCGCCACACCCAGCTCAGTTCCCACGGATTGGGAGTGTCATAACGGCCACATTAAGGAGGGGCCATTGTGGCGGGACTCTTAGATTAACTTACGGCCACTCCACAACTGTAGGACACACAACACTGGGCTGACTGTGAGGTCCAAGCCATCTCGTTAGTTGGCAACCTTCTATGCCACGGCCTGTAGGGCACCATAAAATCTTCAAGCGCGTCAGATTGCTTGTAGTGAGGAAAATGTGCCGAGTCGTCGACCTTAATCTCATTTCCCATTCGCAGACCCAGCCACCGTCTGAGTTGGTCCGTTGACTGGTGCAGGGGAATGGGCGCTGTGGCCGACATAGATTAGTGACCTTGTCTGCGCGCGCCACATGCACGACCTGGCGCCGAAATACAAGCATAACGGGGGTTGTGCGGCGCCCATCTCACGTGCGAGAGAGTGCCGTAGTTCATGTGTAGAAGATGCCGTTTCAGCCCGAGTCTCAGCCCACCACTCCGCCACCCCACACAAACACGCACACGCAACTGGATGGACTGCGTGAACTGAGTTGGTCCCTCAGTCAGCAGACTTCCAAGCCACGGTGCTTGACGAATCGTGATAGTCTCAGACTCGAGTCACACATGCAACTGGGGAGCCGCATGAAGACGGAGTCTAAAGGCAAACTTCTCACTTGCGCATGAGGCGGCATTTGGGTGCTTGTGGTGGATGGTGTTGATGGGTAATAAGATGCTGCTGAGAGAGAATGTGATGGTGTGGCGCAAACGGCGGTTGTCAACCGCGGGTTTTCGTGGACGCGCATGTGTCCGAAAAGGCCCATACGGTGCATGAATGTGCGAATGCAATCTAGACAGTGGAGGCAAATGCGGCGTGTGTAGTGTGGTGCTTCAAGCACCCGTTCGCCAGTCTCTATGCGGTAGATTCGCTAGTGGCCAAACGAACCGAGGCTTGAGGTGAATGTGCGAGAGCAGTGGGGACATGAGAGTTTGGCAATGTCAGTATCAGCTTCGGTAAGGATGATGGTTGAACAGGTGGTGGTGGACGCGCTCTGCGACGGGATGTTACTAGGGCTGAGCTTAGTGGGTGTGGAGGATGCACTTCGTGTGATGGGTGGCGGTGGACTCGCAGGGCGGCGTACTGAGGAGGGCGGGCTAGGCATGGTGGGTGTGTTGGATGAGTTGGGTTTGTCGAGATTGCGGTCAATTCCGCTCGCGTGGATACGTATGTGGCCGAATTGGAGGAGGAGGAGGAGGAGGAGGAGGAGGAGAGAGAGGAATAGTGGTGCTTCGATTTTGATTGTCTCGACCGTGAGTTTAACGTCTGCGACCACGGTCAGCTGGCAAACGGCGTTGTCTCTCAGCATTTTGATTAGGGTACCTTTTCTAGCAACTTCCCCCTCGCGGGGGTGAACAGTGCTCTCGCTAAATAGGGCTGCTCAGTTGTGTCATGTGGCTGCCGAACACTTCTACGGGCCGCGTATTTGTTTAGTGGAAGAACGACCTGAGTTAGCCTGTGACTGCCACCAACATCGCCGTAAGCTTGTGCCCTCGTACGGTGCACCAGACGAGGCCTCGTCTTGACGATGCCGATGCGACGATCCATCCGGCCAGCAAAGTCCAATCTACTGTGCTCAGAGATGCACACACGAATACCCCCAAGTGATTTGGCCAACCGCCCGAGGCGGTTATCGGGGTGTTGCCGCCAGGCAGAGCTTAGCTGCAGGAGCCACAGGTGAGGGTTGGGTGTCAGCAAATGGAGGCTAGGCACAGTCTACAGCTGCAAGCAAGCGAGCGACCTACTGTGTCCGTCTCAACGCGTTTACCCCTACACTCCACTTGCTTACACCAGACAGTTCAACCGTCGTTACCGAAACAGATCAAGGTGCGCCACTTCAGCAGGAGGTACTCAGACACGGTGACCTGCAAGTGATTCATTTGTATTGGATTTCCTTTCCGGTCGGTCATCTGACGAAAGGACGGGCAGTAGGTGGCTGACAGAGCGAACCATGTGAGTTATGTGATGACAGAAAGTGTGGCTGTGGAATTGGAAAACGATCCACTTACCTCGTATTGACCAAGTAAATATTCAATTACTAAGTCGGCTATCGACGCCAAGTGGGTTATCTCAAGAACCATCATCTCCACCACCACATTCGACAGCTCAAATGACTGGGACATCTTTCAGCCAGTGAAGCTATCATATTGTTGACCTCCTGTGTCATCCTGGCATACAATCTCTTCTACATCTGCCAATTAAATTCACTTTGTCGTGTTTGCATTTTTTGACCTTTATCTCCCCACTTTACCCGAGGGCTCTTACCTGGTCTTATTCCCAAGCTCAGGCCTTCTTGCTTTCTGAATTGAAGCATAGCTGTTGATTTCCATGTTCTAAACCACGTCAGGTTATCTTGTTTCATCTGACGAAATGCCCTTATACACCACACAGACATCCTGATTAAGAAAGACTTGTTGGCCATCTAAACGGATAATGGCCGGTGGTCAGTACAGCGTGGTATGTGAGGGAAGTGAAGAGGTGATATCGAAAGCGAGGAATGTGCTGGGCATACAAACTGCAATTCGCGGATCCGCGAGGGGCTTGAAATCGCAAGTCAAATAGTCGTTGCGTCTACAGATAGTTTGGAACTAAGTACAGCTGCGGGGAGTGACTGAGGTATGACCACCCACACGATTTAGGAGATGTTTATATACGTGATACTTATTTTTTTCGTTAGGCGCTAGAATGTCGGGAGTGCGCTAGAACTAGCGGTGCTAAGAATACTGCATTTTGCTGCAACGAACGTTGTCGGCAGCAGAAGACTCGCGAACGGACAGAATGGGATAAAGTAAGATTTAGACCACAACGGTGAGGGTCATAAACTTAATAATGGGTTCATATACCTCACGTCATGAAGACCATGAAGCACAGATGATCTGTATTAAACACGAAAACAGCAGTCTGCGTCTGACCTGTTGAAGTCATGTGAGCCGCTTACGTAATTAGTATACATATATATATAAATGAATGTCAAATGGGCGTTTAACCCTCACTGTTGTGGTTAGGATCCCACTCGATCCCATTCTGTCGCCCGAGAGATTGCTACTGGAGAAAACGAACGCTGTGTCACAGGACACATAACACATATAAAACATGAGCAGCTCGCAAAGAGTGCAACAGGCCTGCTGCAATTATAGCGAGCTGCTCTTGTCTTATATATATATATATCTACATAATATATATACATATATTATATATTATATATATTACATATACATATATCTATTATATATTATATGTATATACATATTAATATATATTATGACAGTGGGCGTTGTCGATCAGGTTACGGAACATGCTCGTTCCGTTGTGCCTTGGGGCTCATACTAGAACCCTCACAGGCAGTCGCACAGCGACTAGTAGAATGATGTAAATCAGGTGGTACGGACAAACACAATGGAGAACGGAATAGCCTTTTCTGGCTTATTAGCCGTCATCAGCCAGTCATACCCAACCCCAAGTGTGGATCACTTGAGATTCGAACCCGGGATCTTTGGTCATGGAGTTTGACGCTCTACCATTGAGCTACGGGCCCGTTGTCCTGTCGGTTGTGATCGGGAATATCAACTATGACAGATGGGCCCTGACCGATCAGGATGCAGAAAATGATCGTTCTGCTGTGCCTTTGGGCTCATACTTAGTCGCACAGCGACTAGTGATAGAGGTAGCATGTTCTGTATCCTGATCGGTGAGCACCCATCTGCCATAATTGATATTCCCGATCACAACCGACAGGACAACGGGCCCGTGGCTCAATTGTAGAGCGTCAAACTCCATGACCAAGGATCCCGGGTTCGAATCTCAAGAGATCCACACTTGGGGTTGGGTATGACTGGCTGATGACGGCTAATAAGCCAGAAAAGGCCATTCCGGTCTCCCTTGTATTTGTTGGTATCACCTTAACTACGTATATCACTAGTCGCTGTGCGACTGCCTGCGAGGGTTTAAGTATGAGCCCCAAGGCACAACAGAACCAGCATGTTCCGTATCCTGATCGGTGAGCGCCCATCTGTCATAATATATATATGATAAAGAGAAGGCTCTTCGGAATAATCTAGTTGTACTCGTAAATTTTCAAAACAGTGACACCGACCCGTCGTCAGACGAAATGAACAGAGGGAAAAGTGAAATCGGCAGACCAGGTCGGCTGGCGCGACAGTACAGACAACGGCAAACAGACAGCTGATGCGTGAGAGGGTGGGAGCACCGAGTTATGGTAGGCTGTGGGGCAGGGTGAGGAAAGGGATAACCGTGAGGCTCCCTGTCTTGGAGGTCGAGAAAATGCGGGGGGATTGAGGATCAGTGGGAATGCGGGCGGCTGGTCACTGATGCAGGATGAGGTCAGGGGCAATGCGCCGGCGTTAGAGGTGTTAGGGGTTTCGGTTGTTGTTCACCGTGTCACAAAAGGGGGGGGGAGCGGAATGGCGAAACAGCATACGTCTATGTGGCCGAGTGGGGGTTAGCAGTTGTTAGGGTGTGGGAACAAGACAGTGAGCGTGTACGTAAGCCCTTGTAATGAGCGTCTAGATCGACGTGGCGGTTGGTGCTGGTCGTGCCAGAATGCCAAGCCTCGAGGAATTCTCGCGCCTGTTTGGTGTTAGCCCTTGCGATCACTTCAGTACCGTCCCAATTGAAGCGGTGGTCGTGCTCAAGGGCGTGCGCAAACACGAGGGACAGAGGGTCACGTCTGCGGAGGGCTAACTTGTGCTCGTTGATGCGAGTCCCAAGACATCGGCCTGTGTGGCCAATATAAACGCAAGGGCAGTTGGCGCACGGTATACGGTAGATGACGTTAGTTAGTTGTTCTTTGGGCACCGGGTCCTTTACTCGGCATAATGTTTCGCGTAGGGAAGATGCGGGCTTATGGGCAATGGAGATAGCAAAGCGTTTTAATTGCCGGGAGAGTGCTTCAGAAATTCCCTGAATGTACGGCAGTGAGTAGCATTTCTGCGACACTCTATCTCCATTAGACTCGGGGCTTGGGGGTTGGCTTTGGCGTCTGAGGCAGTTTTTTACAAAACTGGCAGGATATCCGTTGGACCGGAATAACCTATGTAAGTAGGCCAATTCTTTCTTAAGTAAGTCATCAGTGCTGCAGATGCGATAGGCCCGATGGAAAAGTGTACGGACACAGCT